TACACCCATTCACAATTCAAGTTTGGCACTTACCTCCACATCATCTTTAAGATATCAAGCCAGCAAATTTTATCAAACAGGAAATCAGAAATAAATAAATAATTAATTAATAAGCAGAAGTGCAGAAGTGAAATGAGCAAGTGGAAAGGCTGGAAAAGTCAAATGATGTGCATTGATAAGAACCCAAGAGTAGCCCCAATTTTTGAGGCAGCAACTCGCGCCTCCTGAGAGATCGCAGCTTTGTATGAATTTGTCTGCTTACTTTTATTATTATTAAAAAAAATACTTAAATATCCATAAAAAAAAATGTACAAAGAGGACCAACTGAAACACATCAGTTGGTGTTGGGGGACTGTAAATTGGAGGTTCTACATGAGAAATGGAGAAGGCCCAAAAGGGGTTGGTCAGCAGTGGCAAACTCTTCAACCAGACAGCCTGTTCTTCAGCCTTCTTGGACACCAGCAACACAACAAAGGGTAAAGTTAAATTTTGATGGAAGTTCCATGGATAATCCAGGACCCTCGGGAGCTGGGGGAGTTTTTAGGGATGGGGAGGGCAAAATGGTGGTGCTATACTCTGGTCCCATAGGAGTGGGAGACTCTATGAGAGCTGAAATTTTGGCTCTCCTACATGGCCCGAGATTTGCCAAGAAATGGGAATTTCAGAACTTGGAGGTGGAAGGGGATTCTAAATTGTTGATAGGGTGGCTGAAAACAGAGAAGTTGGGTGTATGGAAGTATAGACAGCAAATAAAGGAAATAATTTGCTTGGCAAGTTGGAGTAACATTCAAATGGGTAAGGAGATCAGCAAACTCTGTGGCAGATAGCTTGGCAAAACAGGGGACAGTCGGGGCAAACTTTTTTGGGGCTATACTGTAACTCTTGATGTTATGTTGGGGTCAACACTCTTTGTCTGAGTGGTTGACAGTGTAAGATGTTTATTTGATATCCTTAATGAAAGTTACCATTTCCAATAAAAAAAATGGAGAAGGCCCAAAAGCAAAAGGATTAAAGCAGGGGGAAAAAGGAAATTTGCTGAATGCCCCTGATTCTTTATTGTCAAAGCAGAATCAAGAACTGAAACCAGAAAGATGAAATTCTATCTTGATGTGGTTTCATAAGTTTAATTGATCTTGTTCTCCATGGCACTGAATCACAAAATTTTACTACCACATTTTTTTTATAAATTTTGTTTTTCTGCTGCCCAAGCATGTTTTGGTAGCCTAACTATAACTTACCAACTGAAAGTCTTTTCCAAAGAAGATATATAACATTTTGTCATTATTTTGAATTAGATATTGCTGACCTAAAAACACTGACTACATCTCTCTCCATATATAGTGATGTTGTGTACCATCAACATTCTAAAACCACAACACATTTGCTTTCACAACAAAGTAAAATGCCAATTTGAAGAAAGAATTCATACATCAATGCAATGCAAATCTGAATAAATTGAAGAATGAACATAATTAAAAGCAGAAATTTACTAATAGAAAACGGTCTTACCTGAACAATTGTAGGTTTGGAACTTGGCTGCTTGTCCTGGCTGGAAAGCACAATAAATAACAGAATTACCAATCCACAAAATGTCAACCAGAAGAGCTTCGAAAATCTTCTCTTCACTGGCCGTCGAAAATCAGTAGGTCTACGCCTCATTTTGCCCGAACCAAATTACATCCAATTGGATCTAAAGATGAATTATGTTCTTGTACATCTGGTTTCAATTCAGGAAAAAAAAAAACATAAAAAGGCCATAAGCTACAAGAGAAAAGGAAAAGAAAAAAGAATAAGAATGAAGGACTAATTTGAAACAACAGAAATAGGAAACAAGGAAACAAAGGACATAAATCATTAAATGCCTTCACTAGGATCTGTGAAGGAAAATTCAAATCAAGGAGAGGGGCTAATCAGCTGAAAACTCCAAAGTTTAGGAACCAAGATGCAAAAGAGATCTAGAAGCTCAGCTAGAGATCTTAATTGTTGAGCTTTCTCTTCAATTTCATGAATGATGAATTAGGGTTCTTGACCCATCACTCTGTCGAGTTCTACAGCAGCAGCTACACTGAAACAACAGAATGATCTGCCAAATTATTGTTTCTTTTTCCTCCTCTTTTTCCAGCTGGCCTTTGCTCATTTATGCTGAATTAATAAATAAAAATTGGCCTATTTCATTGGATTGGCAAGAGAAAAAGTAACAATTAACAGCATCAACGCAGAACCTCTTATGTCCTATCTATTTAAAAAAGAGAAGAACAAGAATATCTATAAATTAGATTGGAAAAAAGAAAATCAGCTCCCAAAGATTCATAAGGCTGCGTTTGTCTGCAGTGTAAATACGGACCGGTGTAAATAAACACTCCAATCCGTATTTGTCGGCGTTTGGATGGAGTGTAGTTAAACATCGAAAATCGATATAAAACTCCCTCACGTCAAGTTTTACATTGATAATTGATGTAAATACAACTTTGATAAAAACGATGTAAATATTAACATCAGTAATCGCTTTTTCCTATTTATGCGGTGTAAATACGGACCGGTGTAAATAAACACTCCAATCCGTATTTGTCGGTGTCAGTAATCACTTTTTCCTATTTATGCGGTGTAAATACGGACCGGTGTAAATAAACACTCCAATCCGTATTTGTCGGCGTTTGGATGGAGTGTAGTTAAACATCGAAAATCGATATAAAACTCCACTCACATCGAGTTTTACATTGATAATTGATGTAAATGCAACTTTGATAAAAACGATGTAAATATTAACATCAGTAATCACTTTTTCCTATTTACAACGGTCCATAACTTTAAACCGATCAGTGTACAACTCCATTGGTGTACTTCTACTTTTACACCGCATTCAAACGCAGCCTAAATATTTTCTTGTTCCAGGCACTATGCCACCAGCAGTGGAAGTTCATCTTATTGCAACATTCTTCCACTTGTTTTCTCTCCTGCCACTTGCACCTAGCCTAGGCTCTAGCAGAGTCAAAATACAGGTTCAACCAAGGAAGCTCCTTGTCTGTTGAGAAAGAAAATGATTTCTTGATTTCACCAAAGGGTTCAAAAGAAAGACTAATGTTAAATTATGATGGGATCTTGAGAATGTATACCCTAGATGAGTCAACCAGACTTTGGAAAATTTCATGGTTACCCAGTAGTGTCAAAGCATGCCAAATTCATGGACTAGGTGGATTAAATGTTATCTGTAGTTATACCTCACTTCCTACTTGCAAATGTCCATAAGGCTTCAACATGGTTGACCCTTCACATTGGGCCAAAAGCAGCTCTCCTCTATTTAACCTGCCCTCCAATCCAGCTGAGTTGGATTTCATGGAACTTCATCACACCAATTACCATGGGTATGACTTAAGCAGCTATTGAATTAATATTACCTTTGAAGCATGCAAGAATGCCTGCTTGAGTGACATTAAATGCAAAGGTTTTGGATATACATCAAATGGACAAGGGCAAAGATTCCCCAAAAGCATTTTCTTAAATAGGTTTCATATGCCAAACACTGCCATCACCACGTATATAAAGATCCCAAGAAGAATGAAGATCACTAGTTAGACCCTGAAATCTTAAAAATATCATACATGAAATACTTAATTGGGTGTGTTGTTACTCTTGCAATTGTAGAAACTGCTCGTATGGATCTAGGGTGGTGGTATGTTCAGCAAAAAAAATAGCAACAATGAAGAAACTAAATTAGCTATAGACAACAACTAGGAACTTCCAAGAAGAGATAGGCATGGGAGGCTTTAGCACTGTATATAAAGGAGTCCTAGTAAAAGGGTTGAACAGGAAAACAGAGTAGTGAGAAGGTATCTCCGAACAGAACCTACCGTTATACTGTTATAGTTAAAAATTTTCCCTCTAAATCTAAATCAACCAACGAACTAGTCGCAGCCATTGAGATTGGATAACATCAGAGACACGAAATCTTAGAAGGAAAACAAAAATGAGCAAACAAAAACCAATCACATGTGAAACGGTCCTTGCTTCACGCTTGCTTTATACGCATAAAATAAATAAAAATAAAGAAATAACAACATTGGATAACAACAGATTAAGCAGAAAGTAATTGAACGAAATCTTAACACGAAATGAAGGACCAAACAAATCTAGTCCCTTTAAATCTTACCACAAAAAAACACAAGATAACCTACAAATACCAAAAATTGCAAGATCCATACATGCAAAAATCAGATCTCTAACAAATTGAATGGGCAATCCAAATTGATCACAGACCCAAATATAAAACCACTCCCATGACAAAACGACGCATGCACATACCTGATCTAATTTTTTGCCCAAAACAAATCAATATTAACCCAAATGCTCAAATCTGCAAGATGATGATTCGAACTCTTCTCCTTAAATCTCCTAAACCTCTGGCGTCTGAAGGTTCGTTTGCTGGAGAGATTTTCTCAGTTCTTTTCAACCTGCAAGAACACCCCTGATTCAGCTTCCATCAAGACTGAAAATGGAACCAACACGCTCCTCTGGCTCAGCTTCGAACAATACCGAATAGACAATAATAGGCGATCGAAGGTTATACCCAATTAGCTGCCACTGGTGTTGAACTACAGTCTCCTTAACGAAGCAAAACCCAACGAGAAAATTCACTAACTTGTCTTATTCTCTTAAATACCCCTTTCCTTTCGTGTTAAGATGGGCAAATTTCTTAAATACCCCTTTCCATTTCCGATGGGCAAATTTCTTAAATACCCCTTTCCTTTAGTAAATTCACTAACTTGTCTTATTCTCTTAAAGTATCCTTAAATTTCTCACAATTGTCTAAATTGCGACAAGTGGCCCAATACAAGGAATCAATGGAGACGACGAACTCAAGAATTGAAAGCCTAGAGAGAGAGAGCTCAATAGCTCATGAACGGAACAGGAAAAAGCTATTGTGGGAATCAGAGAATAAGAGAGAAACATTGAAATCAGGTCAATCAGCAAGCTTTAGCTTCAGCTCAGAGAAAAAGGTTGGAAAGGGGGAGAGAGAGTCTCCTCCACCAGCTTTTGATTCAGTGATGAAGGAGAGAGAGAGCCCGAGAGGGGGATCTTCTTCTTCCTCTTCCAATAGATCCTGTGATGAGAATAATTTGGGAAGCAGCAAAAAGAGTTTAGGCTGGAGGTTGATGAACAGGTTGAAGAGAGCATTCCGAACATCGTCATCATCGCTTAAACCTGAATCCGATGGTTGGGTTTCAAGCAAAGAGGAAGAGATTGTGATGGAGATGGAGGCGAAGAAATGGTCGTGATCAAGAAGGAACGGTCGCTTTATCACCGAAGGAATCTTTCCCTGGTGTAAAGTTAGATCATCTTGTAGTCGTTATTTGTTCAATTTTGGTTGAAAATACCGTAAGTGAGTACTAACCTTACGATTAGAGAGAATGTTGTGCTTAACATGAAAGTGTCTTCTGTCATGGCTCATTCTGTAGCAGTAGCAATATGCATGCCAATAGGTTTGTGGTTCTCTCTCTCTCTCTCTCTCTCGCGCGCGCGCGCGCTCTCGCTCACGCTCTCTGCAACTATTAAGAGCACACCTCTACATAAGCTACAAAGACAGAAAGTTCAAAGTGGATTGAAAATGATATTCTGTCATTCTATATGAAGCTACGGTGATGCATGATGGATGAACGGAGAGAGAGAGAGAGAGAGAGGGTGGAGGAAAAATGGAATTGAGTGGAATAAAACTTCAACTCTTTAAGTCTATAGGAAGAGCAGATCTATGGACTTATGTCACTACATTGGACTGGAGTAATCAAGCAACAACGATCATCATCGCCCTGGATCCTGTATTCGCAAATGGGTTCACATAAATTTCAGATTTCTCATTTCTCCAATCCAAAAGGAAAATGGGTTCATACAAAGCTTCCCCAACTCAGTCCTCTGCAAATGGGCTCATACGAAGCAACAGTGGTCACGGCACTGACCCTCCATCGATACAGCCCGAGCCAAGATTGCTGAGATTGAAGCAAGGTTGTACAAGCAGCTTGAAGATATCATCTTAACACCTCGATTAGAAAGTAGACCGTGCAAGAAATAAATCAAAAACCAAGAATAGGTAAATTCCATACTTCATTTTTTTTATGTTAGTGCTTAACGACAATATGGTTAGGCCTTGTCTCAAACTGTCGTAAGATTCTTTTTACTTAGGGACGAATATTTATAGCCTAACCTGGACGAATATTTATAGCCTAACCTGGTTAGGCCTATGAATATTTGAGCTTATGTAACTATCTTTTTCTCAGCTAAGTCTAGCTCAAATCTGAAACCATACATAATGTGGGCAGGAGGCACAATTCAAGCTAACTAACCCGACTTAAAAGTTATATAGATATATGATAAATATTATTATATAATGTTTAGATAATAAATTTTATATTGATATATATAGAGAGAGAGAGAGAAATTTTATATATTTTCTAATATATATTTAAATTAAATAAAAGTTTAATTTATAAAAAAACATAGTTTTATAATTAACACAGGCAAGCATGCGCCAATTCCAGGCCTAGACAAATATTATTACACTTGGAATGTGGGTAAAGTTGAACCATGCAACCTTAAAACTTGTAAATATATCTTTTTTTTTATTTTTTGTTCATTGGGTCAAGTTGAACCATGCTCCTTCAACTATAAATATTAATATTTTTTAGGGAGAATGACCGATACCCCCAGTGTCAGAATTTGTAGGTTCAATGTACGGCCGGGGTAGGTGCCAGCTCGAAATTGATGCCAATTCATGGGCGGGCATGGGTGCATAGTGTGGATATTGGTCAATTTGAATGTTTATAGCCCTGGAGTGTAAATCAGAAATCTGCATTGAGCAAATCCGTACTTTTCCGTATTTTTTATCTAGAAATAGTTAAAAACCCAAAATTAATGCATGAATGGGTTGTACTCAGTTCAGTTCAGTGCAATTACGAATGTCACATCTTAAACCTCAAGCTCATGCTTAGTTTAATTTAATTATGACTATAACTTAATTTTATCTATTTACTAATATTTAAATAATATTTACAAAAAAAAGTAACATGTATTCATTAAAAAAGTAAAATAAATAAAATAAAACACTAAAAAATAATATGAAAAAAATAATTATTTTATTAAATAATTAGCAGCAGTTTATTATTTTTGTTAAAATCATTAATATAATTAATCCAAACTACTAAATTACTAAATCATTTTTATAAAAAATTACTAAAATAAAAATTAATTATTTTAAACTATTCCTCTTTATAATAATTATGATTTTATGTTATTGTTTCACTCTCCTGGTCTCCCTAGACAAGTCTCGTTTATCGCAAGTCCTCGCTATTTAATTCACAATTCAAACATGGAAATCGAAATGAGACATTGAAATCTTCTTCTCTTGAGATTTCTTGCCCTTTTCTTCATCTCTTTGATTTGAATTTGTATAAATAGCCGCAAGAAACACATTTGATACAAGTTAACCCGATGAAACAATTAAGTCTAACATCTGACATCTGAATGTGTAATAATTGCATTAAGAGATATATTGGTATTGGTGAATATTTTTTCAGACTTTGAAGAATATTGTTCTGAATTTTGAAAACAATCAAATATCCATTTTGACCCCACAATGAGAGTTTTGTTTATTTTTTTTAGATATTATTATAAAATAAAAAATTGTATAATTGCAATTAAAATAAGAGATAAGAGAAACAATCAATTTTCTCTTAAATTAAAAAGATTCGTGTTAAGATATAAGAGTTGAGAGGGAACACGCAGTAACTCTACTTCTCCCTCGTTCGAAGGAACTCTATTTGATACATGTCAACGGTGAATTACCCGATTCGCATGTCGACAGCTCTTGGGATTCTCGATTGGTGCTCGTGTCCTCTTTAAACTATGGAGGTTGTAAGAAGAGAAGATGTTGCAGAAGGGGGTAGTTGTAAGATGCAGAAGGCTGATGAGCAAGGCCACGATATGATCAGCAAATTGCCGGACTCGGTCCTAATTCACATCCTTTCGTTTTTGCCAATAGCGGATGCCGTGAAGACTATCCTGCTCCGAAGATTCAAGCATCTATGGACTTCGATTCCAAATCTAGATTTCTGTGAGAGAACATACGCTCATATCATTGACGAAGATGGGTATTACAACGTGAAATGTCTCAAGTGGTTTGTCAATTTCGTCAACAATGCTCTCATCCTTCACGAACGCTCCACCATCCACAAATTTCGTCTCTCTCTTAAATTCTATTTCGATAATTCCTTTGAAGAGGATATGCATATGCTTGGCGGAGATGAAGTTATAAGAAAAGCAAAGAAAATCTCCGGTCAAATAAGGGACGTAGCAATTCAGATTGATACTTGGATCCGTTTTGCTATCAGGAGAGAAGTGAAAGTGCTTGATCTGGACTTCTTGGGAGGTTGTGGAGATTCTTCTGCTTCCGATTTCCCTTGCACATTGCCGTTCTATGTTTTCAACAATAATTTGTTAACAGAAATGAAGTTGGTATACTGTGGTATCGAACCATCTTGGCACTTCTATATGGGATCACTCAAAAGTCTTTCTTTGAAATACATTCGCTTGCCTAACGAAACCATCGATTGTATTTTATCTGGTTGTCCAATGCTTGAAGATTTGACTCTGATACGTTGCTATGACCTTACAAAGCTGAGATTTACTTCCCCAAATCTTAAAAATTTGATCATTTACCATTTTGCTTATGAGAAATCGATGCTAGAAATATGTTGCCCCAATCTCTTGTCTTTAAGAATCTCTGAGTGCATAGATTGGGTTCATTTAATGAATGTATCATCAGTGGTTGATGCAGCCCTTGAATTTTCATTCCATTTCAAATTCGTTCCTTCTGAGTTTTCTGAGTTCAGAATGCTTCTTGAGAAGCTTCGGCATTCTAAGGTTCTTACCATGTGTACATGGTGTGTTTTGGTATGATTTCTTTCTACATTTTCCATTAACTTCTCTTTTATGCTTTATGGTTTTATTTCTCTTGACAATTTTAATTGGTTTCTTCTCACTTTAGCAAAAAAGAATCACCAGCTTACATGATTACTTGAGCCCAAATTATGAAAGCTGACATATCTTAGTGTTGGATCTCTTAATACTGTTTGACCCTTCATGAAAGCATGCTTACTATACTGTTTGCGTATGTGTGAGTTCCATCTAAGCACCAAATCTTAGCTAGGGCATCTACAGCCACCAAATCAATTCAGCTGGATGTCTAATCCAATCATCATGAGCTAAAAATTATATGGTCTAACTGGTTAGGACTTCTTTCCTCTTATATTTTCTGGAATGCAATGAAAAGAATTAACCTCTAATTGCTGTATCAGGCTAGAAAAATTTATAGACCATTTAGAAGATATGGAATAAAACATGCTCAGTTAACATGACCTCTTTTTTGTAGGAAATTTTCTTTCTGGTGGGTGGGGTAGCAGAAAATTTCACAAGTCAATTTTTTGTTCAATCTTTCTAGTACTTTTCATTGTGATGTTCTTAGGTATTCGCCATATGGGAGGCTGCAAATATACCTTTTCCGTTGTCCAACTGGAAGCATGTAGTACTCAAGACAATGCTGAGCAAGTGGCATCTCTTAGGAATAGCAAGTTTACTAAGAAGTGCTCCCAATCTGGAGATACTTACTATACACATCTGCGCTGGTGGATCTTCTGTGGGTGCATCAAATCCATGATATCCCTTTTGTTTCTACAAGTTTTTGGTCATTGATTTAACATGATGCATTTTACCATGACGGCTTCTTTTTCTTTTTTTTTGTATTTTAGTTGGATAGGCAACAGATTGGATCATATGATCTTGATGGAGGAAGCTATTGGAATGAACAAGAATCAACTTGCCATTGTCTGACAAACCACCTTAAGACTGTCACTATATTTGGCTTCAGCCCAGTGCCCTGTGCGATGCAATTAGTGGAGTTTCTACTTCAGAATGCAGTGGCCTTGGAGAAGATAATGATCTACACAAAAAGGAATAAACAAACTGATCAGCACAACCAGTTTTCTGCAGATGAATTACTGGAATTTACAAAGAAATTGCTAAATTTTCCAAGAGCCTCTAAACATGCAGTGATTCTGTTTAGTTGACAAAAATGTTTACAGTTGAAGTAAATACACAGCCTGTTTGGTTTATCCAATGGCTTTGAGTTTGTGACTGTTGTTTTTGGTTTATTATTAATGGCTGTTGCAGTTATTTCCATTTGGTTCTTTTTTATGTTGACTGATATTTTTTAAGCTAGTTCTTTGTCTTGCCAATAAATCATCTTATACATTTTTAGTTACACTTTAGCAAACATGTCTCATCTCCCATGGTTTATTATTAATGTATCTAACACAAGTCTCATCTCCCATGGTTGCATCTATGTTTTGTGACTATGGATGTTATCTATTGTATATTGACAGAACATATTATCAATTTGAATCAAGTTCAACTCCAGAGTTCCTTGACATGTAAATCTCAGTAGTACATAATTAGATTATTGCAATCATGGCTAGAGCTTGATCCTTGTGGATAGATTTGTCTCATCAATAGAATCTAGGGAGAATGACCGATCAGCCCAGGGTCGGAATTTGTAGGCTCAAAATACTGTCGGGGTAGGTGCCAGCTCGGAATTGATGCCAATTCATGGGCGGGCGTTGGTGCATAGAGTGCGGGTTGTTGACCTTTTGAATGTTTATAGCTCTGCAATGGAAATCATAAATCTGCATTGGGCAAATCCGTACTTCTCCGTAGATTCTATGATGCTGGAAAGGTATGATTCCAGAACTTTGACCAATGAGGCGGCCCCCTCCCCCATGAATTTTGATGAATACCAGCTGATGGTTACCACTTTTATGATATACCGGTTGATTGACTATAAGTTTTTCCAGTATCATGCCTTTCAGGTATCAGAATCAGACCCTTGTACTCATTTGCCTTATGATCCATTATTTTTTATTTCTTTTAATTTGATTGGAATTGAATGAATGGTATGAGGTAACTGGTGAAGAAATTAACACACTTTCTTTTCGCACTTTCGTGTAATTTTCATAGTTGATCAATGCAGTTATTCTAGCATTCTCTGAGATTTAATTGTTATAAGCAAAATAATTCAAAATATGAATTCAACTGAAAATGTAACCACGAAGGAACTATTCAAAACCTACTTCAAGAAATATAAATTCCGTCTGCTAAAAGCACCACCTTTGATACTACAATGAAATCTAAGAGCAGAATAGCTAATCTGATTTATATTTTTTGATTTTTCTTTTGGAGAAACTGCTTTCAAGTCATTATAACAAAAGCATATGCAGTTTTTTTTATCAATGATATACAGTTATAATTGGGCCAGAGACATTTTTTAGTTATTCTATGTGATTATTAATAATACAACAAGATCTAATGGTTTTCTTGTATTTTTTGTTATATTTTATGTCTAGAAAGGTAACTTCATACAGTATATATATAAGATAACCTTAGTTAAAAAAAACACTTGTTTTATTAACATATAAACAACATGCTATTTATTGTCATTTTTATTAAGGTTATATTATCAAAAATGAAGTTCCCAGTTGTCATTATTGTGAAGTACATAATTGGGTCAAATTGCACTAGACCTAGTTAAAAAAAGAGTCCACATTTGCTCCTCACAACACATCCCATCCATGCATTGGGAACGTCTCCGCATGAGCGACAACATACAAGTATAGGAGATGTTTCCAATTCACAACTGCAATGTGAGTGAGGTTGGTGTAATGAGTGATATGTGAGGAGCAAATCCAATTTCTTGGAAAAAATTGGGCCTAATGGAGTGTTCTATTTGTTAAAAGAAGTATAATTGTCAAAAACTTAGGGATATGGAATCTTACAAGGGTAGGATCAGTCAATTTCCTAAAACATAAGAGTAATTTAAACATTTTATTTTATCCAAATCCAAAAACAGGACTTTAAAAAAAACAAACAAAAAGGAATGGCATCTTTAAACTGAAATCCAACTTTAGTCCCGCCTTAGCAACCACATGAGCAGCTCCTCCATTTTCTTCACGAGGAATCTATTGGACTTTGAAAGCTTTCCCTGCACAATGTTTTTTGATATCTTTGCATATATAAAAAAGTAGATGTTTTGGATCCCTAAGAAGCTGCTAACTAAAATTAGATGATTATCAAACAAAAGACATAGCTCCAAAAAGGGCCTTAGCTTTTGCTACTAGCGGGAAACATGAGTTCTGTAGCTCAAGAACTTTGGCACGGCGAGATCTTTAAGTAGTCTCTCTAATATGTCAAGACACCATTTCCTTCTGATTCAGGGAAGACAGAGAATTCTATATACAATTTCTTAAGTAGCTGAGAAGTAATTCCTAGAGGCGTTCAACCTTGACAACCGCTTATACCCAACACGTGGAAAATCTTAAAGAAGCAACAGAAGAATAAGCAACACAAGAGGATATATACCTCAGAAGAAGCAACAATGGAGGAAGAGGTAGAAGATGCCAGATAAGGAAAGATGTCGTAATGTCATTCTACGTATCATTTCTTTAGACGGTACCTACACAGCCACCCTAGTTCCAAAAGGAAATAGATAACAACCTCGTTGAATTCAAAACTCAAATCACTCATTCATCACAGGGTCTTAAGATCTTGAAACTCCAACTATGAATCTCTTCTTGTTTCGGTAGGTGGATACACTTTTCCATACAAAAGGGAGTTGAAAAACTCGATATGAATTTCCGAGGATATTCTTATAGCATCAAATATACACTTTGCTGTTGAAGTTCTAAATCAATGCATGTAAATATCTGTGAAAGCTCAAACTCTATGAACAACAATCGATGATTATGATTTAATTTTGTTTTGAGTTATTATGGGTTTTGTTGATATATACACTTTAATTAACGTTCTAAAGACAGTGTTTTCAGATGCGCCTCAAAGCTTATCCTCCAAAGTTTTCAGTGACTTCACTTTTCCAAAAATTTTAGAACGTTATTCTACAATGGAGGCAGAAACAAGCATGACTTCGATCAAGATGATGAACCAAGATCTTGTTCGACTGGACCAGTTCGGTGGAGCAAACTTATGCCGGTGGCAAGACAAGATGATCTTCTTTCTGGCCACACTAAAACTGTACTATCTCCTGAATCCGAATCTGCAATCACTTCCTGAACCCAGTAACAAAGACTCAGAAAAATTGAAGAAGGAAAGAGCAAAACGAGAAGAGAATTCACTTCTGTGACAATGACACATACTGAATGCCTTTTCAGATCGGCTCTATAACTTTACAAGGAACTTACATCCCCAAAAGAAATCTAGAAGGCTCTGGAATTCAAATATAAGGTGCAAAACGTAGGTATGAATAAGTATCTTATTGTAGAATACTTTGACTTCACCATGAACGACTATAAACCCATACTAGAGCAAGTTCATGAACTACAGGTGATAGTCAACAAAATTCGATCCCTTGATATCATCATTCCTGAATTTTTCCAAGTGGGAGCAATTATTGCCAAACTACCGCCCTCTTAGAAGAATTACAGGAATAAGCTTCTACATAAAGCTAAAGAACTTACCTTGGAGCAAATTCAGCAACACCTTTGTATTGAAGAAGAGTCTCGAATTAGAGATAGTAGGGATAAGACCCTGACCGGTATGCTGAACTCTAAGGTAAATTTTGTAGAAAATTGATCGAATAAGACTAATCTTGCATTATATGTAAAGAAGAAGGATGGGAACTTCAAGAAGAGCAACAACAAGAAGGGATCCTACTATGTTTGTGGAAAAAAGGGGCATTATGCCCGAGTCTGCCGACATCGGAAAGGTGGAACCAAGTTCACAAACATTGTGGAAGTCAATCTTGTGGCCATAATTACTTAAGTAAATATGGCAGAATCATCTTCTGGATGGTGGTTTGATTCAGGCACCACAGTCCATGTTTGCAAGGACAAGTCCTTGTTCAAGACATATGAAAAAGTGACTGATGGATAGGAGGTACAAATGGGAAACCAAATATGTGCCAAAGTTTCCGGAAAAGGCAACGTGGAATTGAACTTCACTTTCGAAAAGACACTAACTCTCCTAAATGTTCTCCATGTTCCTGACATTAGAAAGAACTTGGTCTCAGTAAATCTTGTTTGTAAGAGGGGATTCAAAGTTGTTTTTGAATCCAACAAACTAATCCTAAGAATTGGATGTTTTTTTGAAAGAGATATGATTGTAATGGTATGTTCAAATTAAGTATTAATGAAGGAAAAATTTATGCTTATATTGTTGATTCTTTCTCTTTATGGCATGATAGATTAACACACTTGAATTTTAAATCCATAAAGAACATGAGCAAACTTGGTATATTTGCTTATAGTAATGAATCAACTGAAAAATGTGAGATATGTGTAAAATCTAAAATGGCTAAGAAACATTTCCCTAGTGTTGAGAGGGATTCTCAATTTCTAGAACTAATTCATTCTGACATCTGTGAACTCAATGGTGTATTAAMTAGAGGAKGTAAGAGATACTTCATAACATTTATAGATGACTTTTCTAGGTACACCTATGTCTACCTTATGAGAACTAAGGATGAAGCCTTTGACATGTTTAAACTATACAAGACTAAAATTGAAAATCAACTAGAAAAGAAAATTAAAATCTTTAGAAGTGACAGGGGTGTTGAATATTTTAAAAATGTGTTTAATTCTTTCTGTGAATAATTTGGAATAATACATCAGTGTTCTGCTCCCTATATCCCTCAACAGAATGGCCTAGCCGAAAGGAAAAATAGAACACTTACAGAAATGATAAACTGCATGTTGTTAAAAGCTAATGCACCCTTAAACCTGTAGGGGGAAGCACTTATAACAGTCTGTCATCTACATAATAGAATTGTTTCTAGAATTAATAACAAATGCCCATATGAATTATAGACAGGAATAAAGCCTAATTTAGCATATCTAAAAGTGTGGGCGTGCTTAGCATATTATAGAGTTCTAGATCCTAAAAGAATCAAGTTAGGACTCAGAGCTAAGAGAAGTATATTTGTTGGATATGCAGAACATAGCAAGGCCTATAGGCTTCTAGACTTAGAGTCCAACATAATAATTGAAACTAGAGATGTTGAATTCTTTGAGAACAAACTATATTCTGAATCTATAGAAAATGAATCCACAGAAAATGACAGAAAACTTGAAAGAAAAACTCAAATCTCAATAACTATTGGTAATAATGAGACTGAAAGAAGAAATGACACAACTATAACACCTACAATAAAACCTA